CATATATATGTAGCCCTGTTCTTTCCTACGAATCTGAACAGATATTTCTACACAGTATCTGCCTGTTTACATTAACAGTGTTTGTAGCAGACTTGTGTTCGATATTTGAAATATTATTGCAGACTATTTTAACCAGACCCAGTAAACATATTTTGCACTTCAAAGTTAACCTTGTTGTTTAGTAGATTATAGTTTATTCTGTTATATAAGCTGAAGGTTCATATGTGTCACCCCAAAATACTGACATTGAACCTTTGCCTCAGGTAAATTCAAACAGCTCATATCTTCAAAACTTGTTTCTGTAAGATTCATTCTGCTATTATTCTGTCAATGACTCATATTTCTCACGAATTTCTTTCCGCAAGTCCCCCCCCCCAAAAAAAAGGGTATTTTATATTATTCCTTCTTCCCTTGTCTACGATACCTACCGATTCTTGCAAGAATTTCTTGCACTCAGTCACTAAAGATAAGTAATAAATTCTGTATTGTAACAGGCATACCGAGATCGATCACTCACCAGTCGTTTGAAGTTTATCGATCATTATCGTCCACTATTTAATCTAACGTTAAATAACTTCTATATTTAAATAAAAAAGTAAAGTTTGTCCCACTACACGCCATGTAGGCGTTTGGGGTGAGTGGAGGTATAGCTCCTCTCTTCCTTGACCTCGGCACTAGATGGGGGTGAGTGGTCAGCATCACGCCCCGGCCGGCTTTGCCCCCGGGAAAGGTCCCCGGTACCCATTGTAGAGGAGGCTGGGTGGGCCCCAGAGCCGGTCTGGACGCAGAGGCTAGAGGAAAAATCCTCTGCCCCCGTCGGGGATCGAACCCCGGCCGTCCAGCCCGTAGCTAGTCACTATACTGACTGAGCTATCCCGGCTCTATATTTAAATAGAATCGTTAAATAATATATACTAACTTACCAATTAATAGTGGGGGAACTTATAAATAACTTGTAAAATACAATCAAATATTTCTCTGTTTCGTTACATAGGTTACAATAATAAAATATTTCGTTATAATCTGTACTTTACATAATAGCCTAGAACAAAAATCAAAGTGTTTCAGTCTCCATTTTATCCCGATTTTATAAGGAAAATTTTGGATATGAGTTCATCTTATCTGTGTCCGTGATACTCCGAGCAATTTTTTAAAGAAATTGAAGATTTTCTTATGAAGTCTTGACAGAAATCATGCCACTTTCATATATATTTATTTACTAACATGGCGGTCCTGAAAACTTCTGCGTTGCGAAAGGCACTAGAGCCGTTTAACACACCGAGTTATTCCTCAATTAGTATGGGATAACAAAGCTTGAAAAATACGCAGTCGTTGTTAATGTAATTTCTTCTGAAATTTATAAAAAACATGGCGGCTACTCGAAATCTGTTGTTTTAGTAATAACAATTAATGAGCCATTCGAGCAAGATATGTAATATAAGTTTTTGTGTCATTTTCATAGTTCATAAATTATTAATTTAGGTGGAGTGCGAAAAATTGAGGTTATAAGCCTGTAGATAATTTTACCATAGCCGAAATATGTATAAATATAAATAAAGTGCCTTTATTTCGAGACTATCTAAATGCCGGGTCGTAGAATAGCGAATATTGCACACAGAAATTAACAGCTACACTTAGAATTATTTATTTTTAATTATGTATGTTCTTACTTGTAGATCAACGCACTCAGAATTATCATCAGCGTCCTAATTTTTTCCTGGAATTACTTTTTTTCAATTAGACTAAGGTACCGTGGTTCTTTCTTTAACATTAAATGATAAATTACCTCTCTTTTTAAGATTAGCTGGCAGTAAGTCTTAAATGACGAATTCAGATATTTTGAAGTGTAAACTACATTTGCTTTTAAGCGGAGAAGGTCTTGAATTTATCTCATGATCAGCTCTGTACAGAGCTCATAGAATTGAATTTAATTACTTGCACGCAATGTAAATTACGTAATAGAAAATTACCGAGGTCGTGGGAGAATTTTCTTTTTAATTATTGATCAAGGTTTGGAGAGAAGGGGCACGGTGAAACAGAAGAGGGAATTTGCTGCCTGTGAAAATGATTACGTGTGCTCAAATGTCAGAATGATTTCGAAACTGACTACAGAATTATTGTTACGAGAACGGAACGCGGTAACAAATTCCTGTTTCTGTGACTCCTATCTGATGCTGATGATGATTGTTTTGGAACCTTTTTTTATAATTGTTGTTGTACTATTCTGAAGTTTGTATTCAAACTTGTTAAAATCTCATGTTCTCACGGTTTTATAGGATATTGCACCGTGTAGTCTAGTATAAATTGATTGATGTTTCAGAAGTGATCAACGCTTTCATAATTAGAGCGATCTTCAGACTACACAAAACAACATCGTTAGACAGTTTTCTACGTGCGTTCTAACATGTAATACCTCTCCCCAGGTAGTTTGTTGACATGAGTGTATAAAGAATTTTTTATAATTATCGTATCTTTGTAGAGTTTGTTCAAATTGAGAAAGTTTACAAACGAGTTAAGACCTAATTATAGCCCTAAAAGGAGCATTACAGTGTTTTAATTTATATTGATAACGAATATTTAAAAGTCTTACTTAAATAATTTTCATTAAAGTCTTCTAACACCATAATTACACATGATAATTTCTGGACAGGTTTATTTTAGATAAGAACGAAATTGCCATTAGGGATTATGGTTAACTGATGTAGTGTTAATTATCACGTGATTCCAAAATGGAATAAGGTACTTGGATATTTGTTGCTAAGCAACCGAGATTCGAACTAGGTGAAATCTAGAATGCGATTCGTGCACTATTTATGAAGTAACGTGCGTGTGGATCTATTAATTGTGGGGTAAGGAAATAAGTTTGGAAAATACTGAGAATGTAAAATGTTTTAAGGAATATGAAATGGAAGCATTTTGGCTATGAAATTTCGTCGGAATTGACGGATTGGTTGTAGATAATTTAACGACAATGAATCAGTTTCAGAGAAAACTTAATTTTGATATAAGTTTATGATCGTATTAGAAGAAATTAAAAGAATTTTGTAAAAAAACAATTTGGCCTGTCTGAGTATGTTATAGTGGAATTTATCTGGAATGACAGAGAAAAACCAAGTGTGCTTCAGATGATGATTGACTTCAAAAATGAATTCTTCCTGAGATCCTTCATCTTAGCAATTGTATGAAATACACTTTCTCTTCAAAGATGACTCTGCTCTTCGGAATGCGGTGTTTATGAACGTAATCCAATAACGTTCTGTTTCTCTGTATCATCGTAATTATTATTGGTCGGTACATGCAAATTCAGTGATACCAAACATCAAACCAATGGCCTCTTAGTATTCTCCTTCTTCTTAACTCCTGGTATCATCTCCTTATGTACAAAAGTCTTTCAATAAGTGATATTGAGCATTACCACAGATAAATAGATAATCGCCCCCTGGTTCAGTTCCAACTTTTTCCCATGTAATCTCCTGTACTCCCTCTAAATCTGACTTGTATTTTTCTAATTGTCTTGACACTATTTTTAAAGAACGTGACATATACGGAATCCTGACATTTATAAGTTTTTATAGCTTTCTTCTCATCATGAAACATCTAAAGGAAGTGTACAGACTCGTTTCATCTTTAAATCCAAATTCCCTTTCTGAGAACTGTTTCCATGTACTATTTTATGTCTTTTAGATCAAGGAAAGGAACTATAATGAATCTTAATTATAGGCTTTTAAAACATTTTTCTTATTTCTCTGTTCCTTCTACGTGTTCATCTTCTTCTTATCCTCCAACCTGTGACGCAATATTACTGGTAGAAACGAACGCCATATCTACTAGCTCAAGACGCGTGCAGTTCGGGATGGAAATTCATGGTTCTGGTGTATTCTGAGAGAATAAGTCTAAGATATGTAACCCAAAATCAGTTCCCACTAAGTAGAATAGTACTTGTTATTCACGTTGTATGTTACTTACTTGTATGGACCTAGGTATAAGTGACAGGATAATATTAAAACAGATCTGAGATAATTTTGATTTGACGGTGCGGACTACATTGGCTCTGGATATGATGTAGTGGCCTATTTTTCTAATCTCTATACCGAGCAGTTGAGTCTCGTAACAGGCTAGGGAATTTTTGACCAGATAAGCGACTATTAGCTTTTAAATAAAATTTCTAGTGTCTTAAATACATTTTATATCCTGCAGAAGGTCAATAATGATTCTAATATAAATTTTCTTACATCAAATAATCGTGTAAGTAATGGTCTCTCATAGACAATTGTTTTGTGCGTATATATGGATGTGTTTTTTTTCCAAAGCCAAGATCTGAAAATGTGCTTTGCTATTATAAATGTGAGACAATGCAATATTTATATTCACTTTGTGGAATTAGGTCCGAGATCCTCCCCCTCCCTTCACACCCTCGCCGTTCTAGCCGACACCCGTACAATACAATGCTAGTCAGGCTTTAGTGCAGTCACACTGAAAGAGATAAATAAAAAGGATGCTGGGAAGAAAAATGGGCGATATGTTATATCGTCTTATTTCTTCTTAAGATCCGAGAAAGAGAATAACCAAAGAATAAGAATAAAAAAGAAAATATTAAAATAATAAATGTAAGTTCCTTCAGAAAGGGTGTCCTTGGTTTTGTTTGTATGGGTTACATTACATGTAAAATTTCAGTTTGATGAATTGGTAGCTTAGAAATGTCATCTTGGGAATAATCTATAAGGCCGAATCTCGTGTATCGTTCTATTTTCTTGTAGCAAAGCCCATGAATTATATTGTCTTTAGGAGATGAAGGTTTTTAATCGTGTTAAAAGAGGCCTTTTTTGTTTTGTAAATGTGATAAAACATATTACTGTTTTGTAATAAGATCTCTTTAGAAAGTTTTCTTCTGAACGAGATTTCTTCAGTTCCCCCAGGATAGTGTTTTAAATTCTCTACTATCACATGTTCTTCGTTAATTGATATATAACCTTTGAATAAATAAGTAAACAAACACATCGTCAGCTTTGAAGTGAAAATTTTTATGTTTAATTGCATAAATAGAGTGTTCATTTTAAACTAATTACAATGTAACTATGTTAATAATATGTGCACTGCAGTTAAGTCCTTTCAGTCTCTGCCGTTAGTGATGGAATAATTCTCGTCATTGTGTTTGTGCGCGTCACAACAAGTGTTCGCTTGTTTTCTCCTGTCGCAGTAAAAGCACCGAGGTTTCCAGCCATCTGAAAAGAAAAGAAAGTAAACTTAAAATTTAGAACTTACGCACATCCAGTTGCACGGTTCATTACGGCAAGGTCGTATTTAATTAAGTGTCCAGGTTCTTCAGACTTACGGGGAATGTCTGCTGATGTAACGCGAGTCTGACATTTATTCTGGTTTACCTTGTATTAATCCCAGCTGGATCGTCGACTAACCTGAATGAGGTATTGATTATTTGTATCAGTATTACCACGTAAATGACTGTATTAGTTTAATATAATCCACGAATTTTTTTTTCTTATATAATTTGACGGTCAATAATTTATCGTTAAACAACACGAGAACTAACCATCGCTATATAAATAATCTACTTAATGTGTGAAAAAAATTAGACAAGATAATTTATAGATTCAAGGCTGAACCTTTGCGATGTATTTAAATGAAAAACGTTTGCGAAATATAAAGATGGCCGCCTGCTGAGTCCTTGCGCCGCGTGGCCTCGTAAAAGATTATCGACTTCTCAGATGTGCTTGCTACCGCCATCATCAGGGCGGAAAACGCAACCACCCAGATTAAAATCATAATCGTCTCCGTGACAACCTGAAAGCTTACCCCGAAATAAATTTTTAAAATGAGACTTTTTATGTGTTTGATTTATATGAAATGCAGTCTGAATTCAAGATCTGTCGTGACATTGTAATATCATCTTCTATTAAAGAATAGGGCTTCCCCTTTAAGGACGAAGGTCATATGGTCCACTTTGAGAAGATCGTTAGCATGTCTTCGAATAGAGCACCGCCATTTGCATTGAACGACGTCTTTATGGCGAGGATGCCCATCATCTTAAATCATTAACATTCTTCGCGGAAGTAGACCAGTGGGAAAAATATTCGATATTAAAGGGATATTTGGTACTTAAATGCCTATTTCGGGGGAAAGGGGAGATTCATATGATGATGTCGTCTTCCACTGTGTCGTAAGACATTTGGCACGGCCACTTCATGATTCTATCACTGGAGATGGTGGCTAAGGATTTTGGTAACCTGAATTAATTTCTTGCAGAAGAGTTGAGAATTCATATTAAACTATTTTACGTCAAGCGTATAAAATATACCCATGACCTAGACACATTTTCTATCCCTTTTATTACCGAAGTAAATTAACGGAATGCTAAAACAGTTGGTGGTCCGCTAAAATTTTCTAAATAAAATTAATTTTTGTGTTGTTATTTTGTGGTTTGGCGCCAAGTGTATTCGTAGGTAGAAGCTAACGTTTCAGAGAAACATACTGTCTCCATCTTCAGGGCTACAGATGGAGAAAGTCTGATTTTCTAGCCCTGAAGATGGATAAAATATATTTCTTTGAAACTTTTATATCTACCGACAATTTTACAATGCGCAAAATCTCAATTGTAATTCTGATTCCACATGTAGGAAAATGTGGGCTTCAAAATATAAAATTTGGGCATAATATTAACCCTTCATGAAGAAATGCGATTGAAGTGTTGTAAGACTTATTACGTTTTTAGTCTCTGGTGTTGTTATACCAGTTATTTATTTATTTTTCTTAATTAGTCTAACAGACGGATTCATAAGATAGTATAATTGCGTCATATTGTGAATCAAATATTAAATTAATTATTCCGTTTTGTCCGTCTAATCACAATTATATTTAAAATTTACAAATAAGTTAATTAAAATATCATGTAATAAATGTAAATCGATTATTCGATGTGGAACATAAAATGATATTTTAATTATCTTATTTGTAAATTTTATATATAATTGTGATTAGACGGACAAAACCGAATAATTACTTTAATAAAGACGGATTCAATTAGCCGAAGCCACTGAGATGCCTTTGATCCATCCGAGGTTCGATTCTGAGGAAGGACATTGATTTTTCTCCTCATTGCCACTGCGTTTAAACAGACTCTGAGATACATAACAGATACAGGGGATAAAGCAGTCGGAGCATGAAGCTACCCACTTGCCTTGATTTAGTGCCGAACTTGAAGCTAATTAGATTTCTAGCTCCACCCTAATTTTTGTTTTATGGTTTTTCGTAGAGGCAACTTTACCTTCATGCAGATGATAATTTCACGATGATAAAAATTAGAATTGTGTTTTTCTGGGTTTTAACGCCCTGTGATTTTATGTCGAATGCTGTTCGTCCCTTCGAATATTGATAGCCATTTACAAGACACAATACGATCCAAAATTATCTTCGTTTGTTTTATCTGGAAAAAAACATCTTGTGACCACAACATTTTTTTCAAGACTTCGAATAGGAGTCAGCATTGATTTCATATTTATCTACTTCAGAACACATGAGTCTGATAAATTTACGTCGTAGCTGGATAATTCTTACTTTAACATCCCTGGAACGTAACATTGTGCAAAGAATATTCAATTTTCTTCAGTTTTCTCTCATTTTGTATTTCAGCTCCCATCTCCCCACACTGCACACTCTTTGCTACTAATGCAATTACTGGGAAGCCCGAAAGAAAATCATGCAAGAGCAGTTATCTTACCTTGCAACATTCATTCCCTTTATATCTAGCCACTGGCTCCCTTATAACGCTTCGGTAGCCTTAATTTCAACAATTAACCTAATGGAAATCATATAATTTGGAACTTGTGTTTATTGTATTTGCCCCGTTCCTGCAAACCCCCTACTCCTCCCCTAACTCAAACCCCCTACGACTCGAGCGTGGAGTCATGCGTGTTCGAGACATCAGGACTGACACAACTTGGGATGTTCAAGGTAGAACAGTGGTACGGATCTGACCATAAAAAAGTACACACCGGAATAATTGAGCTATCAGACTCTCGAACGACGGAGAGAGGCTGGTGGAATTGGGATGTAGGAGATCTGGAGGAAAACTTTGGATGCGGGAAAACAAGAAATTAATAGATATGGGCGAGTTTGGAAGTCTAATCTAAAGATGGGAATGATAATATTAAAATGGAGCCAAGGGATAAAAGAGATGTGAAGATGACTGATGCTCAGGTGTATGCCAATGAAGAAATTTTGGTACTTGCAATTATGAACCTAACCTCCGCGTATAACATCACAGCGTTAAATTAGTTCCTTTCTTTTTTTAGAATTTTAAGTTGTTCATTTACTGCAGATACAAATTAATGTATCTTTTCTTTCGTCCTATCTTATCTGTCTTGTGCTGAGAAATTGTAACGTAGAGGAAAAAATGATGACAGAAAAGCAAAGAGAACTACAACATTTACCATTAGTCCGTGTATTTCGTTCGGTTCACAAATGTAATCTGTTCAGAAAAGTGTAAATTCTTTTTCTTCATTCGAATTTGTCCCGCATTTGCAGTGTCTGCGTTTTCATCTCTCTTGGAGGTTTGTGATTGATCTATTTTTTTGGAAATTGATAAAACTCCTTGCATGAGTGATCAGCCCTATCTGCAAGGTTTCTACGTATACAAACACAGTTATGTTATCAATTTCCGTTTATACTTCTCTGTTAGATCAAAATATTCTCTTCTTCCGTTAGAGTGAGGGACCAACTTTGACGGAAACATGAAACAGCACGTAAAATTTCAGTTCCATAAGTTGTAACTTTTAAGTGATTAGACAGAAGAATGTTTTATCTGATCTATTTCCGTTCTTCAATAAGGTTCATTTTGCTGTTCTACAGCAGTTTCATTTCACCTAACGTAACTACAGGATATATATAAGTTGGACACGTCGCCAAATTAAATTAATTCTGTTTTATTTACCGTATTATTACATTGAGTGAGAGAGACCGAGTGATGTATATGTCTAACCCAACTACTTGAGAGGATGCCCGAGCGCCATTATTAGTCTACGCTCCAACTGTTCTCGTCTTGTTTGCTGACAATAGCCAGAAGGTTGTCGGGACACAC